AAAAGTGAATTTACTCTGTAAATCTTCACCCAAATCCTAAAAAAAAAAAAAAAAGTCTTTCGGCCATTGTTCTTGACTTCTAGGGCAAACACCCATAATAAGAGTGGAGAAGCTGAAGGTGGCAGAGAAATATGGGAAAGTCACAGAAGAGGTAAGAGATATGGAAACCAAAATGGGTGAGGGCAGTGTGGGTGCTATTATCAGGTTCAGGCCACTCTTCTTGCTCCCCTTGGGTCAGTGATTAAACCTCCCCTGCAGAGCAAGGAAGAAGAGCCCTGCTGTGAATCCTCCATGAGAAGGTTGTGGAAACTGTGAAGAGGAATAAGACAGTGATTCAGACATAGTCAGCAATCAACCCAATAAGAGGATGAAAAAAAAAAACCACCAGCATCAAGATATGATTATAGCGTGTCTGCCGAGGCAGGGACCTTCTAAGCCCTGTGAGGGAAGGGGCACACATTTGTACCTCATGGCCTTAAGGAGTCCCAGGGCTCCCAGACACCACTATACCCCTAGCCATCTCCTCACCTCTCCCAGCCTCCGGATTTCATGCTGCTTCTTGGGCCTGACATGTTTCCGGAACAGAGGCGTCAGTCGGGAGCTCTGGCTGGGGTTCTCCAGGAACTCTGAAGGGGTCTGGAACCCAGGTGTCCGGGTAAAAGCCAGGGCATAAGCTGTGGACTTCAGGGCCAGCAGGGTGAGTGGCCACACAGACCTGTATCTGAGATAGCCCAGCCAGGACTCTAATGAAGTCCCATTATATCCTCAGTGCACCAGTTTACAACCCAGCCCTTATGAGACTCTGAACAATGGCTAGCTGCAGGACTCGGTGCCAAAGTCCCCCGGACAGGGTCCCTCTCACCCATACCTGACCACCTCTCCTTCCCCAGGCATCCCCAGTAGCAGCGTGGCCAACTGTGGTGGGTTTAGTCTATCCAGTGCTTCCTGCCATGAGCAAGGTAGTGTGCTCCACAGGTTGTCTGTGAAAAATTCCTGCAGGAGAAGAGAAGCAATCAGCAGACTACTACCATTCTTATTCTTCCTTCCCCATTTACAACTCCCTATCTCCTCTGCACTGCTGCAACACAGGGCCACTGGCTGCAACCAGTCACCTCCTGCCCCAACGGCACCCACACAGACACACCGTTTCCCTCAGTGGCTGACTTCTCCTTCCTCGGTGCTGAGACTGTATTCCGGATGCACCTCTCCTTTTAGCAGTTTTCCCCACTTACTTTTATGTTCGTTTTCTTCACTCAATTGAATTTCTTAAAGGCAAGATGGTGTCTCCTCCACATCTGTGCTCCCAGCACTTACTTGCTAACACAGTGTGTTACTATTTAGTAACATACCATAATATGTGCCAGACACTTATGGTTATTTTTTCGTTTGTGCAACACCAATTCTAGAGCTTTGATTATGTATCAAGCACTGTTCTAGGATACAACAGTAAACCAGACAGACATGATTCCTGTTCTTGTTGAGTTTAAGTAAAAAAAATAGTAATTTCCGATATTAAATACTAATGAAATAGTAATGTAATGGAGAGTGTGAGAGAGGGTAATGAAGGAAGACATGGATGAGCAGGTACCGGGCATATGAAGAAAATAACAGGTATTAGCAAACATGTATCAAGTACTTTAATATGTCAGGACCTGTTCTCAACATTTTACATGTGTTTTACATACATTTAATCCTCAAAACCACCCCATAAGGTAGGCACTATTATTATCTCCCATTCTATAGGTGAGGAAACGAAGGCATAGTAATTAAGTCACTTGCCCAAATAAGCTAGTATGTAGTAGAACTGGGATTTGAAACCAGTTTGATTCTAGCGTCTTGCTCTTAACCTTCTGCCCTTTGCTTCCCAGTGGAGGCAAAGCATTCCTGGCAGAGCAGTAAGTGCAAAGGCCCAGATGCCTGTCATATCTGTGAAAGAGAAATCAGGCCAGCATAGGTGAAGCATAGTGAATGTGGGCGAGGAGGAAATGTGATGGAGTTGAAGAGGCAGTAGGGGTTAGATCACGTAGGGCTTTATAGGCTACATTTGTTTAACTGTTATTTGGGTGAAAAGTTTACAGAGCAAATTCACTTTCCACACAGCAGTTCACACACACGTTGTCTCATGACATTGACTACAATTTATCACAATGCAACAGCTCCCCTTCCACTTCCTCCTGATAGTTATCTCTTCCCTGTGTCCATCCCTCCATGCACTCCTGTCCCCTAAGCTGTCTCTCTGTGCATAAACAGCCCTTCTTTCTCCCATGATTGTTCCCTCCAAGGAGTGCATCTACCTCAGGTACATGTTCAACTCATATGCCTGTCTTTCGTTTGGCTGGAAGCCACAGGTGTGGATTCAATTTCAGACCTGAAGGGCAGCTAAGGGCCATAGTCTCAGTGGTTCCACCAGGCTCTATCAAACCAGCAAACCTGGTCCTACAGGCTACATTTTGAAGATATCAATCTGTCTGCTCTGTGAATTGCTCTGTGAATGGATGGGCAAAAGTAAACACAAATCAGTTAGGAAGCTATTGCAGACATCCAGGAGAGAGATGATGGTAGCTTGGCCCAGGGTGGTAGCAATGGAGATAGAGAAAAGTGGGTAAATTTGTTATCTATTCTGGAGGTAGAGCCAACAGGACTTGTTGAAGGATTGGATTGTGGATCAGTGAAGGAAAGAGGCAAATCAAGGATGACTTCTGGATCTGAGGTATTTAACAATTTTTACACGTTATCTCGTTTATTCTTCATAGCACTCTTTCAGACAGTGATCCGTTTTACAGCTGAGGAAAGCAGGCCTGGGAGTAAAACTTCCTAAAGCTAAAAGAACAAAGGAGGCAGGATTCCAGGCTATCTGATTCCAAGACAAGAACTGTCCACTACACCACAAAAACAGTTTCTTCAAAGCCTGGCTGAATGAATATCCTTACACGGTCCTACAAGGGAAGTTTAATGTGGCTCCCTCATGGATCCCATGCTCATGAATTTTATTACCTTGGATTTGGGAAGGTTTGGAAAACCTAGGTATTAGAAATATTTTTATGTCAGGTGAAAAAAAAATCACCCCAGTTTTAACCCCTTTGTGTACAAAGACTGAAATTCTAGTCTCTTCATAAACGGTGTTGGCAAAACTGGATTATCAATTTACAGAATTGTAATTATTGTAATTATACAATTTACAGAAAAATGAAACTGGACCCATACCTCACTCCATATGCAAAAACTAACTTAAAATGGATCAGAAACCTAAATGTTAAACCTAAAACTATGAAGTTCAAGGAAGAAAACAGGGACAAAGCTAAAAAAAAAAAAAAACTCACTGCCCCTGAGTAGGAGCCAACTCATACAGACCCCTCTTTGGGTTTCCAAGGCGGTATCACTACAGAAGTAGATTGCCCAATCTTCCTTCTGAGGGACAAAGCTAGAGCCCCTAATTTATGGCAGAGATTATCAAACGTAACTAAAAATGCACAAACAGCAGAAGAGAAATTAGATAACTGGACCTCCTAATAATTAAATAAATACTTACTATTCACCAAATTTCACTAAAAGAGTAAAAAGAGAACCTACAGCCTGGGAAATAATTTGTTGGCAGTGACATATCTGACAAGGGTCTAATCTATAAAATTTACAGAAAACTTTAACACCTGAAGAACAAAAAGACAAACAATCCAATTAAAAATAATAGGCAAAGGACATAAGCAGATATCTCACCAAAGAAGACATTCTTCGGTGGCTAACAAACATATGATCATTAGCCATTAGAGAGATAGATATCAAAACTATGAGATACATCTCACTCTGGCAATAATGGCACTGACCAAAGAAACAGAAAACAAATGCTGAGGAGGTTGTGGGGAGATTGTAAATCTTAAACATTGCTGATGGGACTGTAAAATTGTACAACCACTATGGAAGATGATATGGCACGTCCTTAAAAGACTAGAAATAGAAATACCATATGCTCTAGCAATCCCACTCCTAGGTATATATCCTAGAGAAGTAAGAGCTATTACATGAGTAGACATACACACCCATGTTCAATGCAGCACTATTCACAAGAGCAAAAAGATGGAAGCAACCTAAACACAACCATCAGTGGAAGAAAGGATAAACAAATTGTGGTTCATACATAAAATTGGTTACTATGCAATGATAAAGCATAATTATGAATCTGCAAAACATCTCACAACATGAATGAATATGGAGGATATTATGCTGAGTGAATTAAGTCAATCACAAAAGACAAACATCGTATGAGACCACTATTATAAAAAATCAAGAATAGGTTTACACACAGAAAGAAACATTTCTTTGATAGTTACCAGGGATGGGAAGGAAAGGGAGGGAGAACCACTCAATAAATAGTAAAACCAAAACCAAACGCACTGCCATCTAGTTGGATCTGACTCACAGTGACCCCTCCTTGGGTTTCCGAAGCAGTATCACTACGGAAGTAGATTGCCCAATCTTCCTTCCGAGGAGTGGCTGGTGGGTTTGAACCACCAGCCTTCTGATTAGCAGTCAAATGCCTCAGACACTATGCCGCCAGAGGCCCATGTTAATTTTGATTAAGGGAAAGGCAATATGCAATATGTGAGCAGTCAGTAAAATGTGACCAAGGCAAAGAAAGACACTGAGAAGTACAAAAGAATAAAGAACAACTACGGTAAAGACTTACACAATCCCACAACAGTGGTAATAATAAGCAATAATTTGTAGTGGATATGTAAGTAGATAGGTATGCTAACTATGTGCGGGAGGTCATATAGGAATATGCCTGCATGCATATATAGATATGGTTGTAGATATTTATACATATGTATTTATATATGCTGTACATATAATCATACACAGAACACATAGGGGGCACAGTTATGGAAACTTCTTAGACATAAGCAAGTATCTTGCGAGACTGAGCTACTGAGCTTGAAGGCTAAGGATCATAGTCTTGGGGTCAACTAGCTCAAATGGCTTAATATAATTCATAATTTTCTACATCCTAGGTTGGTGAGTAGTGTCTGGGGTTTTAAAAGCTTGCGAGGCCAACTAAGCTACAATTATTGGTCTGGAGCAAAGGAGAATGAAGAAAACCAAAGACTCAAGGAAGCAATTAGTCCAAAAGACTAACGGCTCACATGAATTACAGCCTCCTTCAGCCTGAGACCAGAACTAGATGGTTTCTGGCTTCCCCTACTGGCAACTCTAACCAGGAATACAATAGAAGATCCCCGTTAGGATGGGTAAAAGATGTACAACAAACTTCAAATTAATAAAAAAGCCAGACTTACTGATCTAATAGAGACTGGAAGAACCTTTGAGACTATTGGGCTAAGCCAACCTTCTAACTTGAAACTGAAGCCACTCTCAGGGGCCACCTTTCAGCCAAATAATAAACTGGTATATAAAATAGACAAAACACCTAAGAGGAATGTGCTCCATGAAACAATCAACTATACGACCAAACGGGCACCATTTGCTCAAAAGCAAAGGGACAGGCAAGGAAACTGGAAGAATGGAAAGGAGGAACCCAGGATGGAAATGAGAGTGTCAACACATTGTGGGGATTGCAACCAAAGTCACGGAAAAATGTGTGTATGAATAATGGAAAACTAATTTGTTGTGTAAACTTTCATGTAAAGCACAATTAAAAAAAAAAAACTCACTGCCGTGGAGTCGGATCCGACTCATAGCGAAGTAGACTGCCCAACCTTCCTTCCGAGGAGTGGCTGGTGGGTTTGAACCGCCAGGCTTCTGGTCAGCAGTCAAATGCCTTAGGCACTATGCCACCAGAGCGTAAAGCACAGCAACAAGTTGAAAGTAAAAAACTCATAGCAGAAACAAGATCAGAGACCAATTTTCCTGATTCTCTCCCTGTCGTGGGCACCTAGTCAACCATACTACCAACACTTGTCCCCGGAGCACCCTGCCCACGCCCCGTAGCCTCACGATGATGTAGGCATCCAGGATGGAACGGTAGAGCGCCAAGACACGCGTGAGGTTCACAGCTAGCTGCCTCCTCTTCTCCAGAGAGAGGCCCCGGGCGGAGATACCCGGCATCGTGAGGTCTGGCCGGTAGAGAGGAAAGAGAATGTGGTGAGGGATCCACTGTTACTACCAGGCGGGTACAGGACCCGGACTGGGCTCAGCTCTGCAGACGGAACGAGACGCAAATGTTTCGGGTCCGGTGCTCGACGCTGCCTTTCCAGGATTCCATTCTGGGGTTGACGATATAAAGTGTGCCCCCTCCCCGACGTCACAGGTTGCGACGTCTCCTAGCGCGGTGTCAGCGTCGGAGGTGGGAAAGCAGAGTGACAGCGTAATGACGCCACAGAAGTGTGTCGCGGAGCCACGCCCACAAAAGGGACAAGCCAAATTCTAGATCCTGCCTCTTCCCTATAGGCCCCTCCTCTCTCGGAAGTAAGGCCCAGGATCCTCAGCACCCTTCTGTTCTTGTGTGTCGCGGCTTCCTTACACCTTGGAGTTGTACCTCCACGGGGCTAGAGGGGCCGGGGAGCGCATCCCGCCCCCGCCCCCACCCACCCCACCACCACCGCCGCCGCCGCTGCCTATCCTCACACAGTCTGAATCCCTGGCCTCACTTCCGGAGGTTGGGGCGCGCGGGCGCCGGCCCTCAGCGCGTTCCAACCCACGCGCCGTCCGTACGGGGCCTCGTCGACGCGCGCCAATTTCCTCATCCGGCTCTGGACGTTTCCGGTCTTAGCGGAGCCCTTTTAGGAGGTATGTATGTGAGCTCTGGGGCCAGACCAGGGGATGGTATGCGTGGCTGGAACTGTCAAAGTGTGTTCGTTGGAATGGGCTCCCCCGAGCATGGTTTCCCTCCATCCCCGGCAATTATGTGTATCAGAGTCCTTTCTTGAGAGGAGGAAGTATTTGGGTGAGGTGCATATGGAGATTTCCCCCACCTGGAGTTTAGGGAAAGAGGTGCCTGGAATTGCAACTCTATTCGTGAGGCCATCATCCCTGGGTCACCTGGCTAATGTAGAGGTCATCTGTGCCATGTCCCTCCTTGGTTTGGAGGATACCAGAAAGAAGCTGTATAAAACTCACCTATTCTGGCTTTCCAGACTCACAGAGAGTTCGAGCTATGCTGGGCCCCCTAATCCCTTCAGTTTGCAAATGAGACAGACCAAAAAGGGGGGAATGACTTTCTTAAGACCATTTGGTTAGTGAATTTCGGGGCATCCTGATTAAGACCAATGTTTCTTCTATCACTTTACGTTGCAGTGTTATTCCCATTCTGTCTCAGAGGTTGCTGTGATGTCTTAACTTTCCTCCCTTGAGCCCTCTGGAGATCTGTTATATCTCATATCGTCTAGGCTTTTTTGCTCAATTATCAAGGTCACTTTCTTTCCCAGGCTATACTACAAACCTCCAGATGCTGGTCTCTGGGATTCAGCAAAGAATGAGTCCCCCATTCATCTTTCATCCGTAAACTGCTGTCCAACTGCTCCCAGCATCCACTGCCCTCATGTCTACCTTACTTCTTAATCTGGATTTTGGAGAACCTCCTCCCAAAAAGGCCTTAGAGGGGAATTCCAAGCACCAAAGTTTTGTCAAGAAGCGGCGGCTCTTGGAACGAAGAGGCCTCTTGAATAAAAAGAAGCAGCTCCCTAGCAAGGTATCTAGGTTGCAGTCAGACCCTCCAAAGAAAGAAGAGACTCGTAAGATAGATGACACTTGGAGTGTCTCGCCCCCCCAAAAAAAGAAAAAGACAGCTGTCTCCAGCAGTGGGTCAGAGCAGTCCCTGAACAACAAAGCTGCAGTGCCTTGGCTGACCCCTGCTCCTTCACAGAAGGGTCATTCTCTTGTGGCTAAAGTAGATTTGCTGGGGGAGTTCCAGAGTGCCCTTCCAAAGATTAAGAGCCACCGAGCCTGTTCCCAGAAAAAGCATCCCCAGAAGAATGCCTCACAGAACTCCAAACAAGCTCACTCAGAGCACAGCTCCGGAGCATCCCAGGAGCCAAGGAAGATGGTGGCAGTTGACTGTGAGATGGTGGGTACAGGGCCCAAGGGACATGTGAGTTCCTTAGCTCGATGTAGCATTGTCAACTACAATGGTGACGTGCTTTATGATGAGTACATCCTTCCCCCGTGTCGCATTGTGGACTACCGGACCAGATGGAGTGGTATCCGGAAGCAGCACATGGTGAATGCTACACCCTTCAAGATTGCTCGGAGCCAGGTGAGGGGCTTGGGGCATGCTGCTGGCAATAAAGTGGGTGAGGAGAGGTCCAGGTCATTTTTCAGCAAAGAATATTACCCTGGGAAGGTACCAAAGGATTGTAGAAGGAGAGGGCGATATTAGATGATGAAGAAGGCATTTGGTTGGGGTGAGGAGTAATGAAAGGCAAGAAGGTTACAAGTAGCTGGTGTAACAGAATTCATTTGCTGTTGCTGTTCACTGCCTGTTGAGTCGGCTGCAGGCCGGGCAGCCCTGTGCACAACAGAACAAAATGCTTCCCAACCCTGTGCCATCCCCATGATTGTCATGATCCCTAGGACTTTCATTGACTGATTTTCAGAATAGATTTCATTTGCCCACTTATTTTAGGTCCCAAATGGAATCCTGATCTGGGCAACTGGGAATCTGCGTAGGAAGTAACAGCCAGTGATGAAACTGGAAAGAGCAGCACACATGAGTGCTGGGTGAAAGGGCTCAATTTGGGAATACCTGGTAGAATTGCAGCCTAGGGTTGAGAATGGAGAGGTGGTGGGGGCTTCCTACCATGAGGGAAGTGTTGGTGGCAGGTGAAGGTAGAAAGTTAACAGAAGGAACTGGGGCATGTTTGTATAGCAACCCTACTTGGCCTGCATTGGAGGAGATGAAAGAAGCAGATAAAAAGCCCTATGCTTGAGGGAGGAAATAAACAAAACAAAACTTGTGCTAGATGCTGAGAGCACCACAGATTAACAGGAAACAAGGGAAGAAAGAGGAGCCTGCTGATCTTGGAAGGCCTCCAGAGGGCGCCCTTGGTCCACTTCTTTACCCTTCCAAGGAACTCCACTTTCTTTGCCATTTCTAGACACACTCTGTTACAAGAATTCTTTATATGCCAGGACAATCAGTTGGGGGAGGTTCATGAGAGATGAAGCAGCTAGTTTTCAGAAAGGACTTGGAAAGAAAAGCTGAAGAACATCTGTGCAAAGGATTTAGGGAGCAGAAAACCATGAGTATAAGAAAGCAAACCCACTCACCTTTAATGATGGGCTGTATATTGTGCTTAAAAGAAATAAAAGTGGACAGTAAACTGTAGGTGAAGTCGGGAGCAACAAAATAACTAGTTGATTAGACTGTGTCCAGTTTTTTATTTTTTAAAAATTTTTATTGTGATTTGGGTGAAAGTTTACAGAGCAAATTCATTTTCCAAACAACAGTTCATACACATTTTGTTTCATGATACTGATTTCAATTACCCACAGTATAACAGCTCTCATCCTACGTCTTCCCCATAGTTACCTCTTCCCTGTGTCCTTCCCTCTCATGCATTCAGCCCGCCCCACCACCACCGCTGCTGGCTATCTCCCTATGCAAACACTGCCCTTCTGTTCTCCCACATTTGATTGCTCCAAGGAATGTATCCACCTGATGTAAATATTCACCTCATATACCTGTCTGTTGTTTGGCTGGAAGCCCCAGGAGTGAGTTCAGTTCCAGACCAGAGGAGTAACAGGGGCCACAGTCTCAGGGGCCTTACTGGGCTCTATCAGACCTGCAAACCTGGTCTTTTTTATGATTTTGAGTTTTGTTCCACATTGTCTTCCCACTTTATCCAGGGTCTCCTGCACCAATCCCCCTCCCAGTGGTTGACAGTGGTGGCCGGGCACCATCTAGTTTATCTGGTCTCATGGTCATACAGGCTGAGGATCACATGGTCTACTATTCCCTTGGACTAATTGTTCCCATGCATCTTTGGTTTTCTTCATTCTTCTTTGCTCTGGATAAGAGACCCCTTGTTGTATATAGATGGCCACTTGCAAGCTTTTAAGACCCCAGTCAATACTGACCAAAGTGGGATGTAGAACAATGCTTTTGTGTAGCATGTTAAGCCAGTTGAGCTTGATATCCCCTGCGACCACAGTCCCAAGTCCACAGATCCACTGCTCACTCCCTCCTGATAGCTGGCTGTGGCTAAGAAGCCACTACAGCCTTGCACCTTGTCATCTTTACTATAAACCCAGGCATTCTTACAGCTCATACAAACACGTGTAGAAACATTGCTGACCCTGTAGATGGTCATGGGAACACTCCCCACTACCTAGACATACATCATTCAGCTTGTTTACCCATCTGTCCACCCATAAATCAATACTTGCCATCACTGACAACACAGTACTATATATGCAAAAGGTTTGTCTTTGTTGTCTGTACCTCCCATGAACCTCAATGTCTTCCTCTTCCTCAGTGCCACTGTATTGATCACTCACGTTTGGTACATTGCCCTTTCCTTCACTCAAATCAGTTCTTGTCTCCATCTATCTAGCAGTGTTCCTTCCCTGTCCCTCCCATCCCTGGTAACCAACAGAGAAAGTTTCCTTTTATATATAGACCTTTCCTTGACTTTTACAATAGTGAACTAAGATATTTGTTCCTCTGTGATTGACTTATTTCACTCAGCATGTCCTCCAAGTTCATCCACGTTATGCGGTACTTCCTGGAATAAAGAATAATGAATAGCTATTGTTTGATTATCCATTCTTCTGATGGGCACTTAGGTTGTTTCCATCTCTTTGCTACTGTGAATAATGCTGCAGTGAACGTGGATGTGCATGTATCTGTTCTTGTCCTGGCTCTCACTTCTTTAAGATACATAGCTAGTAATGGGATTGCTGGATCAAATGGTATTTCTAATTCCAACTTTTTAAGGAATCTCCATACTGATTTTCACAGTGATTGTATCATTTTACACCGTCTTTGTCCAGTTTTTATTATAAACCACTTCTACAATGCCCAAGCTAGGGTTGTGAGATTAAAGTTCATCCTGATGAGTCTGACCCCTTCAAATGGGTTCCCTTAGGAGGCCAAGCACTTACTACAGGACTATTGTTCTTGTTCACAACCTGTTTGGAACCTCATTTTGAGAATGGCCTTCAGACCCCATGATAGATTATTTGATTGTCCTCATTGGTAATATATCTTCATGCTTTAAGTTTTTAAAACATTAAGACATTATTTGGTTCCAAAATTTGTGTGACTAAGGTTTCTGACCAGCTGGTAACTGCACTCTGGTTATGAGCAGGAGGAGCTGTAAAGCAGTGGGACTGGCTTTTAGTTTAAGCAGCACAAGCAGAGGTAACCTGATCATTTCCCTCTGTGGCCTCAGTCTATAAGTGATTCTTAATCTTTTATGACTTGTAAACTCTTTGAGAATTTGATGACAGCATGGACCCTCTCCCTTTCCACAATACCTATAATCATACCTATATGCATATAATTTTGGACTTCTGTTAATTTCCTAGAGCCCATCTTTCACTCCTTGGGTCACATGTCTAAGGCCAGCATAAAAATAATGGCTAAAGAATTTCTGTGTGACCAAGTAGCAAACTACTACTGAACTAGTTACATGAACCTCTCAAATGTTTATGATTTAAGTCTGAAACCAAATTAGTCTGCCATTGGAATGGAAATTGGGAGCTCTGGTGGCGTAGTGCCTAAGGCATTTGACTGCTAACCAGAAGGCTGGCGGTTCAAACCCACCAGCCACTCCTCAGAAGGAAGATGGGGCAATCTACTTCTGTAGAGACACTGCCTCAGAAACCCAAGAAGGGGTTGCTGTGAGTCAGATTTGACTTGACAGCATTGAGTTTGGTTTGTTTGTTTGTTTTTTTTTGGAATGGAAATTAATAGGAAGATAGGAGCCACTGGCAATGTAAGTCCATCCAGTCAGGGCCACACTATGGAAATTTATCTGCTTTTACCTGGAGGAAAGGAGCTGGGATCCAGGAGAAGGAAAACCCAAGGGAGAGGACATTTCAAGAATGAGGTAAGTAGGCAACTGGTGAAAAGAACCCAGAAGGACCAAATGACCATGTTGAGCTTTCAGAATTAGGAGCTCCACCTTTCAGTCCTTCTCACCATCTTTTCTTCTATGCCTATTTCAGATCTTGAAGATACTCACAGGGAAGATAGTGGTGGGGCATGCCATCCACAACGACTTCAAAGCCCTTCAGTACTTTCACCCCAAGTCCCTCACCCGTGACACCTCCCATATCCCCCTCCTCAACCGGAAGGCCGACTTTCCAGAGAATGCCACCATGTCTCTGAAGCGTCTCACCCAGAAGCTGCTGAACCGGGATATTCAGGTAGCTTCTCCCCAGATGCTACCAAGCCTCTGGCTTGGGCACTGCAGAGTCAAATCCCAAGGAAGTCCTGTGGGGTCTTGTGGAAGAACCCACCCTGAGGAAAGAGTTGCTTCATCAAGCAATAGGGCTTGCAGACCATGGAGGGATGGCACCAGGGGTAGTTGCTTCTCTAACATGCCCCACCCAGCCAACCCTGAGGACAGAGGCTGTGAAGCAAAAGAAAACAAGAGTTGTAGCATTTTGGAGCCCAAGCAACTATGCTTCAGGGCCCCACTCAAAAAAACAGAAAATAGCAAAGGTGATAAAACTGCCTACATGCTTCGCAGTGGACTGACAAGGACAGTCCTAAGAGAGCAGCAAAGGTGGTCTCCAGGGAAGTGTGGTATGAATATAACTGAGAGCAGCACCTGTGCCACCGATGCCCTGGCAGAGCATGTGGTGCGTGGGGTTGGTGAGTTAGTGTCTCTGTGGAGCTGGGAAGCACAGCCAGAGCCACACACTGCTCTGCTCCAGAGGACTGCAGTAGTGGTTGCTGTCACACTGAGGTTAGGGAAAGTTACATTAATATCATGGTAATGTAGCATACCACCTCTACAAGAACTGCTGAATGCAGGAGTCAGGTCTCCCAGTAAGGGGGTGTTAGGGACTGAATTGTGTTCCACCGAAAAATGTGTTGAATCTCTGTCTTCTGCACCTGTGGATGGGATCCTGTTTGGAAATAGGGTCTTTCTTTTGTTATGTTAATGAGGCCATGGCACTGTAAAGGTGGATCCTAAACCAACTCACCTCTGAGTTCTAATAAGAGCAGATGAAACACAGATTAGACACACAGGGAAGATAGATGTTTGAGGGTTATCTATACACAAAGGAATACCAAGGATCACTGGCAGGCACTTAGAAACTAGGAGAGAGGTTTACAGAAGAAATCGACATGGCTGTGAACCTGATTTGGACTTTAAGCATCCATAACTGTGAAAAAGTTAATTTCTGTTGTTTAAAGCCAACCATTGTGGTATTTCTGTTAAGGCATCACTAGGTAACTAAGAGCAATGAAGAAGTCATTGGTTTTGCAAAATTCTGTCATGCGATCTCCAGCATCATTTCTGTCACCAAGGCCATATGATACAAATGACGCTGGAGAGTGGATGATAGAATTTTCCAAGACCAACAACTTATTCATTGCAAATACCTTTTTTCAACAACATAAACGGCAGCTATACACGTGGGCCTCACCAGATGGGACACACAGGAATCAGATGAACTACATCGGTGGAAAGAGGCAATGGAGAAGCTCAATATCTTCAGCCAAAACAAAATCAGGAGCTGACTGTGGAACAGACCATCAATTGCTCGTGTGTAACTTCAAGTTGAAGCTGTAGGCAATTAAAACAAGTCCATGAGAGCCAAAATATGACCTTGGTTATATCCCACCTACATTTAGAGACCATCTGAAGAATAGATTGGACATATTGAACACCAGTGACCAAAAACCAGATGAATTGTGGAATGACATCAAGAACATCATACATGAAGAAAGCAAAAGGTCATTAAAAAGACAGAAAAGGAAGAAAAGACCAAAATGGATGTCAAAAAAAAGGCTCTGAAATTTGTTTTTGAATGGAGAGTAGCTAAAGCAAATGGAAGAAATGACAAGATAAAAGAGCTGAACAGAAAATTTCAAAGAGCAGCTCAAGAAGACAAAATCAATTATTGTAATGAAATGTACAAAGACCTCTTGTGGTCTAGCGCCTAAGGCATTTGACTTCTAACCAGAAGGCTGGCATTTCAAACCCACCAGTCCGTGGAAGGAAGAGTGGGCAATCTCCTTCCGTAAAGATTTACTGCCTCAGAAACCCAAAGGTGGTCACTATGAGTCGAAATCAACTTGATGGCAGTGAGTTTTTTTTTTTTAATTCAGAGACCTGGATTTAGAAAATCAGAAAGGAAGAATACACTCAGCATTTCTAAAACTGAAAAAACTGAAGATAAAGTCCAAGCCTTGAGTTGTAACATTGAAGAATTCTATGGGAAAAATATTGAACGATGCAAGAAACATCAAAAGAAGATGGAAGGAATACACAGAGTCACTGTACCAAAAAGAATTAGTTGATGTTCAGCTATTTCAGTAGGTGGCATGTGATCAAGAACCAATGGTGGAGGCTCTTGTCACCTCTCCTCAGACTCTAACCCCAGAGTTCCTCTGGTTGTAGAGATCTGGGTGGGCTGCTCCAACAGGAACTGCTTTGCACTTGTTTAGATGCCATAAAGTTGGTTCCGACTCATAGTGACCCTGTGTACAACAGAATGAAACACTACCCAGTCGTGTGCTGTCCTCACAATCCTTGCTATACTTTAGGCTTCACAAGCACAAAATGTTCATCCAGTCAGATCTGACTCATAGTGACCCCTCTTTGGATTTCCGAGGTGGTATCTCTATGGAAGTAGATTCCCCAGTCTTCCTTCCAAGGAGTGGCTGGTGGGTTTGAACCACTAGCTTTCTGGTTAGCAATCAAATGCCTTACGCACTACGCCACCAGAGTCTTATACTTACAGCTTAGGGACCCAGTATTCTCTCTCCATCTGTACATCAGGAATCGTAATTCCTATTCCCTACTTCATAGAGTTTTCTGGGAACTAAATGAAATGATACCTAAAAGGACACTTTGAGGGGGGGAAAAAAATTAAGTAGATGTAAAGCCCTAACTCAGAAAGAAGGAAGTCAGATATTGGTGGTGGTCTTAAAAGACCACATCGTGGGTACAGGGACCTCATACGTATTTCACATGTTTTTCAAGGAAGGGGTAGCAAGGCTGGCAGGAGGATGTGGACATAGAGCATACAGAGAGCAGTTGAGGGACTGGGGAAGGGAAGACTTAGGAGGCCTATTTAAAGCAGATTTGTTCTGTCTCTCCAGAGCGGGCAGAATCGCCAGTGGATAGATTTCAGCCCAGTGTAGGGAAGACCTTTCTAACAATTGGAGCCAATAGTAGGGAAAGCAGGCTTGTGAGGAACTCTTACTATGTACCTTTCAAAAATATGGGGTGACATCCTGCAGTATAGATGTTACTGGGGGCATTCCTGCATTGTGTTGAACTCCATGATTCCCCAGCAACCTTTCTGTCTGAGAGCTTCTGCTTCCTCATCAGTTGTAGAGAAACACCAGCCTTTACAGAATGCCACCTGCTTCCCAGATCTCCCAGAGCTAAGGGCCAAGACCCCTTGGAGGAGGCAGCTAAAAGAAGACACTAGGGATATGACCTGCTATGTTCTGTCTCCACAGAACATAAAGTAATATGACATACACATACTGCCACAGAAAAGAATGGAAGTAGACAGTAGCAAAGGCTTCCCAGGAGTTAAATCTCTGAAATTAAATGAAGGTGTAGGTCCAGGGCCCCACCAGAGTCATATATTTGCAGCCCACTAATTTGGCAGAACAAACTGTGTGTTAGGGGTAGGACTGGGGGGGCAGAGTCCCTTAGCTTCATCCTCTTCTCTTCTTCCCTTGTTCAGGTTGGGAAAAGCGGACATTCCTCTGTGGAAGATGCCCAGGCCACCATGGAGCTCTATAAGTTGGTTGAAGTTGAATGGGAGCAGCACCTGGCCCAGAATCCCCCAAAAGACTAGCAGCAGTGGGGATGCTAGTGATGTGGGGAGGCAGTAGTAGCACCCAGAAGAGCCAGGGAATGGACCAGTGGACAGCTCTGCAAGCTTCACACCCTTGGGAACTAGGCAGGCTCCCCAGACTTAATATCCATTGAAACTTCACCTCAGGTGTTACATTCTGTGTCTGGTTAAGTGTCCCATGGAAGTGGGAACCGTCCATGTCAGAACCCAGCCCTATACTGTTTACCTCTTAAATGGTGCTAACCACAGGTCCCAGGGTGCTTTGTTCGAGTCAAGCTTTTTGACTTTCAAGGGACAAAGCATACCGGGAAATGTAATTTCCCAAACTGCCTTATCACTAAGGTGGCCATATATTCCAGTTTATGCCTTTTGTCCACGAGTAATTAGCAGCACCCTCTTTCAGAAGTATCCTGGTTTGGATGATCAGTTGTATGGTCACATTACATATCACAGACCCTATACTAGAGGCTCAGAGTCTCCGTCCGCCCTGTGTCTGGATAGCACCTGTTCTCACCTTGATTTCCCGAGGAAACATCCCTGCTAAGGTTTAGTTCTTAGGGCTATAAGCAATAGAGGTAAGAGAGCATAGCTTGGAAACCAACTGTTCTGATTTAGGAAATGGCTCTTTCCTAAGAATTTATTTAATTTGAGTCCCTCTCTGAGGTTAAAAAAGGATATTAAATGTTTTAATAGTTTTTAGTCTTTTACCTTGCTGAGCCAAGCCTCTAAAAACACAAATTATTTCTCTGATAAAATTTTATAATGGAAAAACAATTTTGTGGTGTTTCAGTTTTAATTTCATGTTTAGAAACTTTGTCACAAGTCTTGTGTAGGCTGTAGTTCTGTCAGGGGGTTCCTGGGGTCTCTGGTTAGCACTAGCCAGGGCCTTTGTATTCTGGAACTCATCAAGAAGCTCTGACCAGAGCTTCACTGTAACCTGTGAACTGCCCTCATCCCTACCACAAATGACTGAGCACACCCAAAATGACAGCGCAAGCCGTACAGACACCCTCACATAAGAGGGTTGTGTAATGAGAATGAATCAGAGAGTGAGCATGTGAAAGAGAGAATGGGGGAGGATGGGTGCTAAGTGACGGCACCCTGGTCACTCCTGCTGTCAGCTCTTCCTCAGTGGTAGACATCCTCATCTTGGGAGGATGAGTCACTGGTCTGACCTTGTGTCCAGGAGTGCTGTCTGCTGACTGTCTTGAGAGAATGCAAACTCTCTGTACCCATCAGGCTTTGTGTTCTGTAAGTGGCTCATCTGGTTCTAAGGGCCAGAGTCATGGTTATGGCTGCTATAGAAGGAATTTCTTGCAGACAAATGACCCCAGACGTGGCCTTGCTTTCGTATCCTGCATTACAGGATCTGCTTGCACAGGCAGTTGTTGAGGACTGAGCAAGTTGGTTCCTGTTGAGCCCAACATATGTAACATCCATGACGGTTCACAAAGAGGTGCCAGGCATCCTCATTTTGCTCTGGATGCAAACAGAAAGGACATAGTAAAAAGCGAGAAAGCAAGTCCTGATTAATTGTTACCAGTAAACAATGGTTTTCCAAATGGTGTTCTGGGAAGACAACTGGAATATTCTCAGTTGGGTTCAGTTTTTGTTGTTTTTTTAATTTGGGTGAAGATTTACGGAGCAAATTCACTTTCCATATAGCAGTTCACATATACTTTGTCTCATGTCATTGACCACAGTTTACCACAATGCAACAGCTCCCCTCTCACTTCTTCCCCATAGTTACCTCTTTCCAGTGTCCATCCCTCCATACTCTCCTGCCCCCTGAGCTGTCTCCCTGTGCATAAGCAGCCCTTCCTTCTCCCATGATTGTTCTCTCCAGGGCGTGGGTCTACTTGAGGTAAATGTTTAACTCACATGCCTATACTTTGGCTGGAGACCACAGGTGTGGGTTCAATTCCACACCTGAAGGGCAGCTAGGGGGCCATAGTCTCAGTGGTTCCACCTGGCTCTATTGGACCAGCAAACCTGGTCTCCACCTTTTTTTTTTTTTTTGCCTCCAAATGATTTTGAGTTTTGTTCCACATTGTTCTCCCTCTCTATCCAGGATCTCCTACATCCCTTCTAAGTGGATGACCATGGTAGCCGGGCACCATCTAGTTCTGGTCTCATAGTTGTATAGGTTGCAGATCGGATGGTGTACCAGTCGCTAGGACTGATTGTTTCCATTAATTTTGGTTTTCTTTCTTCTTGACGAGGAGAGATCCATCTTTGCATCTAGATGGCAGCTTGCTAGCTTTTAAGATCCCAGTCGCTACTCGCCAAAGTAGGAGGTGGAACAATGTTTTGTGTAATATGTTATGCCAATTGAGCTTGATGTCCCCTGCGACTGTGGTCCCAAGCCTGCAGGTTCAACTACTCGGTCACTCTGGGTAGCTGGCTGTGACCAAGCAGTGACCACAACCTTGCCCCTTGTCAGCTCTATTATACATCTGGGAATTCTGATCATTCACATAAACTTAAGGACCGTTGTCTGCCAACCTTATATGTGATCTTGGATACACTCCCCGTTTAGACATACCTAATTGTTTAGCCTGTCCACCTATCCGTCCATATACCCATGTTTGCCTTCGCTGACAACTCAGTACTGTATATGCAAAAGGGTTCATATTTGTTGTCTGTACTACCCTTGTACCTCTCTATGTCTTTCTCATCCTCAATGCTGCCATATTTGTCACTCACCTTTGGTACATTGCCCTTCTCTTCACCCAAATCAATATTTATTTCTATCTATCTAACAGCGTTCCCTCCCTGCCCTTCCCACCCCTGGTAACCAAC